ACTGATCTGTGTACAGGAAAGAATGAATGGGGCCATGTATCGTGAGATTTTGAGTGCAAACCTCCTTCCATCAGCAAGGGCATTGAAGATGAAACGTGGCTGGGTCTTTCAGCATGACAATGATCCCAAACACACCGCCCGGGCAAGGAAGGAGTGGCTTTGTAAGAAGCATTTCAAGGGCCTGGAGTGGCCTAGCCAGTCTCCAGATCTCAACCCCATAGAAAACCTTTGGAGGGAGTTGAAAGTCCGTGTTGCCCAGCGACAGCCCCAAAACATCACTGCTCTAGAGGAGATCTGCATGGAGGAATGGACCAACATACCAGCAACAGTGTGTGCCAACCTTGTGAAGTCTTACAGAAAACGTTTGACCTCTGTCATTGCCAACAAAGGATATATAACAAAGTATTGAGATGAACTTTTGATATTGACCACATACTTATTTTCCACCATAATTTGCAAATAAATTCTTTCCAAATCAGACAATGTGATTGTCTGGATTTGTTTTCTCATTTTGTCTCTCATAGTTGAGGTCTACCTATGATGACAATTACAGGCCTCTCTCATCTTTTTAAGTGGGAGAACTTGCACAATTGGTGGCTGACTAAATACTTTTTTGCCCCACTGTAGCTGAAACAGAATGGAATAGATAAGCAAATAGTGGCAATGTTTATGCAGGTACAATGGTGCAGTTTGGATGTGATGGAACTACACACTGTGCTGAAAAACAACTGCTCTAGATCAGAGACCCCCAACCTTTTGGGCAACAGGGACCAGTTACGTAGAGAGAGGTTTTTCCACGGATCGGAGGGGGCGTGGTTTTGTGTGCTGCCTGCATCTCGCTGGTGGGGCTTTGCTTGTTTATGCAGCCCAGTTGCTGGCATGCCGAGGACTGGTACCAATCCATGGACCGGGAGTTGGAGACCCCTGCTCTAGATAATGAGACCAAGCCAATGCAGGTAATCATTGGCCACAAACCGAACCTGGAATTTTGGTTATAAGTCATTGCAATTATAAGGCAAGTTACCATGTGATAGGACTCAATTTTTACAACCACTTTTACAATGCTCATTAAGCAAGTCACCACATCATTAAGTAAATCACATGGTCTAAGTCCATATCCAGCTCATCCAATGGCCATTTATTGTCAGAAAATGGCAAAAAACGTAGCTAAACATGATCATGAGGCTTTGGGATACTGCAATAGCTTGTAAATGTGAACCAGTTGCCAAATGCCCCCAAAAGATGATCATGTGATCACGAGTAGTATGGCAGTTGTAACTTCTTTGACAGGTCATAAGTAATTTTTTGAGTCCTTCATAACTTCGAACATTTGTTAAATGGCCAGTCGTAAGTTGAAGACTATGTCTGATAGGTTGCTAAGGAAATGCTACTATTAAACCTATATCCAAAGATAGCCTTTAGGAGGATTTTTTATTTACTTAGAAATGGTTAAATGACACATGACAAAAATGAATGTGAATTATCCAAAGTGATTGCATCTCTTGAAATGTCTTCCCAAAAGTGGGAAATTAATTATCTAAGCTTGCTTGTATGACCTTTCAAGGTCTTTCACTTGGAATGTTACTTCACATGTCCTTGTGTGTCTCTGCAGACTTTATCTTTGCACATAAACTTGGAGACTCTTAAGCTGTCTCCTGAGAATAAAGGAACCAACCCGTATCTCGCCACCAAAGTGATGAAGGGCACTGGGGTATTTTCTTAGGATAATTCTTCCAACAGTGGCCATATAAATAGGCTAAATAAATAAAACACTTCCCATCTCAATTCCACTGCCATTATATACAGAAAGGTTACAGATGGATCAAAGTAAGCCATTCCTTTTTGGGCTCTCCATGCTAATTATGCATGAGGGTTGTTTCCAATGGCTCTGGAAAACTCTGAGACCTTTTGATATGGATAGATGGATTCATCATGTAAACTGTTGTTTATTGTTCATCTCTCTGTCCCTCCTGGTTTTTGTTTGCCTTTTGCTCCATTTTGCCAATTAACTGATTTTGATCCCTGCTGATCTTAATAAATAACATCAAACCATATTTTTGCTAGCTGCACTGAGTAGTGCATGTGTTCATTGCAGTCTGGATATAGGAATTTATAGTGAGTGTGCAGAGTGTAAAACAAGCTGGAAATTACCCAGAGGAATTTTCCAACAGTTACTTTAATAGCCAACAAAATGCATAACCTTGCATTTATGGTGCATATTCCTGTCACACTACAAACAACTCTAGGGTCAGGATAGAAATAGCTGCAGCCTTTTTCAGCTTCATGTACAGTAGAACTGCCATATTTGTGCTGTAGTAATCCAATCACTAATAGACGACAGCAAAGAATTAATAGTTTCCTGTATTTCTTTTATTAAGTCAGTTTCTGTACCCACTGTCTCAAAATTGGCATGGTTGTCTGGTGCCCACAATATAACAGTCCTATACAGAGGTGAACTATACATCTTGTGTCTATATACAAAACACTAATCTTTAATGTGGACTTATAGCCAGTTCATTTCTAAGCATTTTGTAATTTGTGAACCCAGTAATTCTCAAGCATTCCTGTTTTTCCTTAGTAGAATGGGGCCGGGGGACACAGTAGGTTATAAGCCACAGTAAATTTCCCTTGAAAGCCAGTTGCTTCTCTCATATGGCTTGGATGTGGATGTGGATGTGTGTGTATGCCCCTTTAAGTCAGTATTGACTCTTGGCTACAGCCTGGACTAGTCCTAGCAGTTTTCCTGGCAATAAATGGTTTTCCACTGCCTATTTCCTAGGGTTGAGAGGGAGTTATTGGCCCAATGTCATCCAGCTGGCTTTGTACTAAGGTGAGACTAGAATTCAGTTTCCCAGTGTCTAGCTTGATGCCATAACTGCTACACCAAACTGGCAGTCTCATCCAGCTTCAGACACACCTAATTCCTCAAAGATCTCAACCTTCCCTTCCTGATGATACCATGAGACACCTTCATCCAATTTATTGGGGTCCTTGGGTAATCGATACAACATGTGACATGTACAGAAAGCAAGTTTCATGTATAGCCCATTCAGGATGATCTAGATACTTTTTATTTTTAAAACTTATATTAAAAAAACAACCACAAACTGGTACTTTTACAAAGTACGTTGATGTGGAAATGATGGAAATGCTATGAAAGATCTGTCATGGAATGTCACCAAGTTCCTTCCCTGAATGTCTTCCAGTACATGATAAAGAATTAACTGGCTGCTTTAAAAAACATTGATTAAATGCTATCAAAGGAGTGTCAACTCTTAATAACCACATGGATAGAATTTCTTGGATGATCTGGAGATTTTGGAGATCAGCATCAGTGGCCTTCTCTAATTCTACTAAGGTAATTTTGTTTGGAAAGTTGGAGGTTTTTTTTTTTTTTTTTGCTTTTACTTTATTGTTGACAATGTTCATACTTCTCTTTCATTCATTGCATTTTATAAACTTGGTCTGATATTTTTTAATCTATCACTGAGTTTTCTTTGCATGATAAAGTGGGAATTAAGTTTCTGAAAACAACCTATTTAATTCAGGTACTCCAAATAACTCCCAATGGAGGATACAAAATCCTTGAATTTTGTAAACTAGAATAGATTTTTGCTAAAATGGTTCCTTGATGTTTTCCTTATAAATTCTCAGTTTATTTCAGAGAGATTGAGGAGGTGTCTCAGTTATAAATTGAAGAAAAATGAAGATTAGAACCAAAAAAGCACCAGAATCTCTTCTTCTCTCTCTCTCTACTATCCTTTTATTCCCCCAACTTCTTTGCTTTTCATTGTTTACCATTCAGAGAAATACTTCAGACCTCATGCAAGGATACCAATCTCTACTATTTGAAAGGACATGTATGTCTCTTAAGGCTGTCATGCAAGTCTGAAAAAATATATATCTGCTTAAAGAATTGTATCAATCATTTCATTAACTAAAAGATCAGTTTCCTTCTTTAAGAATAGAAGAAGATTGAAAAAAGGGGCTGCTTTAATGGATTGCAGAGATGTGGTGCTTTTATAAGATCTAAAAGACTTTCAAATTATTTCAAAATGTGTACAACCTTAGTGGGGAAAACAGTCCTTTGCTAGAGCTCTAAATGAATCACTTGTCTTCTTCCATCACTCTCTCCATCTTCCATTCTTACATGAAACTAGGGCAAGAATTATTTTAAGACTTTTGTAGTCCTGAGTTTCTCCAACAGTGGTAGATAGGAAGAGACTCACTGACCCAATTTGGGAAGGATCTCATGAGAGACAGAGAGTAAAGGAGGACAGAGCAGCCAGCTCTCCAGTTACTATCCTGAAGCAAAGGGAATTGAACAACTTACTGAATGTTCCTCAGGGTCTGGAATTAGAGCAGTCTCTGAAAGATTTAGGCTTAGTGTTCTCTTTTTCTCTTTCTCTCCATTTGTCTCCCTCTCCCCGTTTCCCTCTCTCATTCTGTCTTATTTGGATTGGGTTTAGGGGACAGTAGCTCACACTGCAATATATCCAAGGCTTCAGCCCCATTAGCTCTTATTATTTCAATTAGAAGTATTTGTGCTCAGTGGAAAACAATTTTAGTGGCAAGGACTAAACTCTTAGTCATTATTTTAAAATTATATTAATAAAATCATTGTGGGCAGTTGTATCTTTTATGTCTCTAAAATATACCATAACAAATGTCTCTGAATAGTTTGTAAATTTCTCTGAATAAAAGTTTGCTTCTCTTGATGGAGCTAAGATTCTTTGATAAAGTGATCAGTAGGATTTCAGAAACACTGAAGTCATCTACTCCAGTAGAAATGGGTAGCTTTTATATGGAAAAAATATGCCTTTTGGATTCTCTTTTGGATGGGGGTGTCACCAATTTCTGTTCCTTTCCTCAGCTCTTTTTCTGGAAACATTTAACAACTTGATTTAAAGCAGGGGTCTTCAAACTTGGTCCTTTTATGACTTGTGGACTTCAGCTCCCAGAATTCTTCAGCCAGACACGCTGGCTGAGGAATTCTGGGAGTTGAAGTCCACAAGTCATAAAAGGACCAAGTTTGAAGACTCCTGATTTAGAGCAATTTATTTAATAAGTTGAGTTTCTCCTAGCCTGAGCCAGATTTCTCCAACCTATTGACCTCCAGATGTGGAACCCCATTTCCTATAATTTCAGCTACAAATTACGAAAGGCCAAACTTATTTGAAAGGAAGTGGGTTAAAAAACTGCTCAGTCATTAGCAATAATACTTGAAATACTTGGCATTTGCAACTGAAATAAATGAATTGAGAAAAAAGGAAAGGGAGAGAATGGGTATCTTTCCTAGATCTACTATAGAGAGTAAAATCATTAAGACATGTCACCATGCAGCAAAAGATCCTCTCATTTTGTTTTTACAAGCTGTTTATACAATACAATATACATCCATTATACCAACATGCAAAATTAAGCTAATCACAGATATTGCAAATATCTCAGGAATTAAGACCATCCTTAATCTCTCATGCTAAGTTTAAATACTTCAGGACATCTGGAACATTTCCTCACATTAATACTGAACTGGTCATTGATGATGGATAAAGCATTGCTGGCAATGGACAAAGAAAATCCAAATGGTACTTTCTTTCCTAATACAAGCCAATTTGTCCAAATGCTTCCATTTGCCTCCCCATGCCTGATAGCAGGCCTGCCTCTAATTTACAAAGAGGCTCTTGTGATCATAAAAGACTGTTTTGTTTATTTTGCTCCAAAGCCATTTCATTGACAAGCTGCTCAACAGATGACTGAATGGCTGTCTTCACAAGTGAGGCAGCTGTTTCAATCAACAGCATTTCATATTGCTCTGAAGTCCAGTGTTCCTGGCTGTTGGTGCCAAAGGAAGAGGGGACCTGGGAGCATGCTTGGTCTTCCTTTGTGCAGTTGCATCCTGCAGTAGAAGCTTGGTTTTTGCTAGTTTTTTTCTTCCCTTTTTGCTTGATGGCTTGAGGAAATGCAAACATTTCACAGGTAGCAGCTGATTCTTCTTCATCATCCTGATCATCTTCAGCTTCAGTGATCATGATTACAATGCCAGCCCCAGGTATGGTAAACTGCTTTTCTTCACTTTTCTCTTCCTCATCAAAACAAACTGGTATATCTGAAGCCTCATCTTCCATTACAGATGGGCTGCAATGCAACATCACTTCAATGGAATGACCTTCCTTAGCAACAACATCCTCACTCTTGACCACAACATCAATGTCTGCCCCAAATGGCTGTGACTTGGTCTCTTTGGTTCCCTCTCTTTCTATAAGTTGTTGTTCATTTTCAGGCAAATCCTGAGGAATGGGAGGACCGATCTCAATATTAAAACTGAACTTCTGATTTTCCAACTCTTCAAGGTTTCCATAGAGGGTTCCATGATGTAACTGAAATATTTGCTTCTCTTCTTCAGTTACAAGTGCAGTTTCAGAATGGATTATTTCTGATTGAACTCCACAGTCAATATAACAATTGGGATCAGGAAATTTGTTCTCTCTATTGGACAGTGCCACATTTTCCATATTTGTCATGGCTCCATTGTCACTTTCTCCTTCCTGTAGACTTTTGCTGGGGGGTTGTTTTATATCTGGTAGAACTTCCATAGCCACAATCTCTGGCTCTTTGTTACTTTTGTTATTCAGGATGCTTGCTGTATCACTTCCTTTTTTCTTGCAATGAGGCTGTTCTATTATTTCAGAGTGGTTGGTCCTTTTTTTGCTTCGGGAGAGTCTTAGGCAGGGAATTTTAGAACCAGAACTGGGGTGCTCCTTAGAAAATCGTGTCCTGCCAGAATCTCTTATGTCCACATCTAGATGTACGCGAGAATAAGCCTCTGTTTGTTTCTTCAAAGTGGATTTGGATCTTCTCCTTAATGTCACTAGTCGTTTGAAAGCCAGCCAGGCCCCTCCTGAAGTCCAAAATTGATTTGATATCTCTGTTTCATTGTGCCCCATGTCTGAAGGCTGGTTATCAGGCCTTAAGCTAAGTGAATTGGATTCATGATTCTCATCCTTCTCTTCTACCTTCTCACAAGACTTTTTCCTTTTCTTAAAGCAAAAGACAGAAGCCTTTTTGTCTGGACTCTCGGGGACAATAATTGGGTCAGTTGTATTTGGAGTTTCCAATTGTTGCTCAGTGTCCATCTGAATTCCTTTTGCTAAATGTTCCATATTTTTGGCTTCCATTCTAACTTCCCCAAAATTGGTTCCTTTGCTAATGTTTCATTGGAAAGACACAATTGGGGCTGATCTACAATAAAAGAATATCACTTGTAGACCAATTGAGCAGTTATGGTATCTTTTTGGGAATTATATTTTAGAGATGATATGTCAAACCACTTATTTGGAAGCACATTTTCCAATAGCTATCAGAGAAAGAAAATCACTATTAATCCTATTCAGATGTATGTCAGTAAGTTATTAATGAAGTCAATTTATTATCATTCAAAATTGATCTCAAGATATTAGTTAAAGAAACAAAACAAGAGTTAGTTTTTTTAACAGCTAACTCTTAACAGTGCTTTTGTCTTCTCTTTACTCTTCCTGAAGGAGTTACACATGTATTTAATAGTCTTTTGATGTGATGGTGATACTCCTTCATCAGAAGTTCAACATTTTAAATGTTTTATAGGTTTAAAATCAACATACAAAATACCTCCTGTTCCATTAGTGAGAGACTCAAGAAGCAACAACCATTTGCAAATCTACATATGGCTTCCCAGTCAAAGATTTAGTTTGGAAACACATCCAAAACACAGCAGTGGAAAAGGCTTTTTTGCTGATTAATTAGGGGATGAAATTTCCCCAGGATCTTGCATATTTGTTTTTTTACTGCCTTTCAATCCATTTTCCAACTAGTGCTTCTTTGGTTGTAAATGTGACCATTTTCTTCCTCAGTGGGATAGCATTGCAGGCATCTGCAGGAGGGGAGGGAAAGGAAAGGGAAAAAATGAATAGTAGCATGCTAAATTCATCCACACAAACAAATCTTCCAAAGAATTAAGCTATTTTGTTAAGGAAGTGTTTACAATCTTGCCTAAATGGCTTATCACACTGCATGATATCCACAAAGCAGGCATCTTCTTATAGGAATGTAAGTAAGTGGAATACAGGTAGATCCTGAATTTGAATGACCCTATACATCCGGGTTGATAAACTGAAGCTTCCAGATGTGCAAACAAGAAGAGAAAATGGTTGTAGCACTGTCACAAGCTTATGAACTTCAAGAGAGATAGATGATGTGTCTAGAATTTATATGTTGTTGAAATTGCCTCCAGTTTCAGGCAGATCAAGACAATATGGACAATGGCAAGTGATAATGAGACTAGCAGTCCAACAAAATTGATTTATTGATTTGTTTGTACAGATAGTCCTTGACTTACGACCACAATAGAGCCCAAAATTTATGTTGCTAAGTGAGAAATTTGAAAGTGATTTTAGCCCCATTTTATGACTTTTCTTGCCACATTTGTTAAGTGAATCACTGCAGTTGTTAAATTAGCAATACTGTTGTTAAGTGAATCTGGCTTTCCCATTGACTTTGCTTGTCAGAAGGTCACAAAAGATGAATCCATGACTGCAAGCATCATAAAAAGCATCTGAATGTAAATCATGTGACCATGGGGATGCTACAACGGTCGTATTTATTAAATGTGTATGCCACCCATCTCATGATTTAAATCATTTCTATTTACAGTTATATATCAATGAATACCAAGAGTCTAGGTAGCATACAGATTAGCATAAAAATACAATATAAAATACATTGGAAGGCCACATATTTCACATGCCTTATTTGCACATTATGCATATAGAACAGCCTATAAGTAAGTGAGGCTTTATATATATATATAGTATCCCCTATTACAGTCTGCAGTGGCACTCTAGAGCAGACATGTCAAACTCACGACATCACATGATGTCGCGCAACGTATCGGGATGGTTTTGCCATTGCTGGCAATGGGGTGGGCGCGGCTTCCGGATTATGCGTCCGGCCTGCGGGCCAGCAGTTTGACACCTCTGCTCTAGAGACTCAGGCAAAGAATCCTTTGGATTGGAAATGCTTGGGATTATATCTGCAGCTTTCTGCATGCAATGCACATCATTTACTACCTGTCATTCATTTTTACTTTTCTTACATTTAACTCCAAACTGATGTTGTTTTTATCCTGCAATGTTGGATCATCAAGCTTTTCAGGGGCCTGTTACCCCAATGAAAATAAATGTCTGAGGTGGCATGGCTTTGGTTGATGAATCGATTGTTGTTGGGCTTTTGTTTTTTTTTTGCCTATTTTTCTTCCAGGAGCACAAAACACCTTAGCATTCCCTTTGCTTTTTATCCCCATAATTTCCCTGTGAGATGGGTTAGGCTAAGAGAGAATTTGGTTCAAAGTCAGCCAGTAAGTTTCTATGCATCAAGATGGGTTTGGACATGTATCTCCTGAATTCTAGTCTAACACCTTAATTATTACAGTACATCACCCTAGATCTCGGTGCCTTATTTGGAAACTCCAAAATGAAATTGGGTGAATCTGATTTTAGCATTCTCTATTTGAGGAATAAAATTTGAGGCAATGAACTAGCCCCAAGACAATGCTTTTCATCCATCCCTCCACTAGTTGTTTTCCCTTATTAAGCTCGACCCCCCCCTGCAAATGCCAGATGTAGTATACCAGTAGTGGCAAACCTATGGCATGCGTGCCAGAGGTGGCACTCAGAGCTCTCTCTGTGGGCATGCATGCTGTTGCCCCACCAGAGTAGCGAGCACATGGCGTTTGGAAGCGACAGGGCAGGAAGTGAGCGAGCAAGCGGCATTGGTCCCCCGGGGATGCCCCAGAGATGGCAAGGGACTGGCCCCCGTTGCCCTGGCCCCAGCCACGCTCATCCAGTCGGCTGTGACCACTGCAGCCATGCCCACCCAGTGGGCCACACACACCCTGCCCCCTCTGAGGGCACCACAATGCTGATGCAGCCCTGGCACTTCATGATAAATAAGTGGGTTTTGGGTTATAGTTTGGGCACTTGGTCTGTAAAAGGTTTTCCATCACTGTAGTATACTATAGCACACTGGAGAACAATTACTGGGTGACTTTAGCTCAATCCATGTTTCTCCACCCAGTCTTTTCTGAAGGGCTGCTATTGTGAGACAAACATTGGAAGAAAGGTGCCATGTGTACAGGCTTGAATTCTTGGAACAAAGGTGTGATATAAATTTAGCAAAAGCAGAAATAAGTAAATACAGGTAGTCCTCGACTTACAACAGTTTATTTAATAACAACAGAAACAACAACAACAATAATAATAATAGAGTTGGAAGGGACCTTGGAGATCTTCTAGTCCAACAGGGGGTTGGACTAGATAGGAAACCCTATACCATTTCAGTTGGACAGGTAGGAAACCCTATACCATTTCAGACAAATCTCTGTACAGTCTCTTCTTAAAAACTTCCAGTGCTGGAGTATTCACAACTTCTGGAGGCAGGTTGTTCCACTAGTTAATTGTGACCATTCAAAGTTACATCGCTGAAAAAAGTGACCGATGACTGTTTTTCACACTTATCTGTTGCAGCATCCTTGTGTTCATGTGATCAAAATTTGGATGCTTGGCAACTGATTCGTATTTATGATGACTGCAGTGTCCCAGGATCATGTGATAATCTTCTGCGACCTTCTGACAAACAAAGTCAATGGGGAAGCCAGATTCACAACCATGCTACTAATTTAACAGCTGCAGTGATTCACTTAGCAATTGTGGCAAGAAAGGTCATAAAATGGGGCAAAATTCACTTAACCACTGTCTCATTTAACAACATACATTTGGGGTCAATTGTGGTCATACGTTGAGGACTACCTGTAAATAAATAAAATAAATAAACAATCCTGCTGCTGGCTTGAACTTTTGCTCCGTGCACTTATAGCATTCATCAAGGGTGCCTTGACCTTCTGCTTACCCTTGATTGCAAAAAGAAGAAATGTTCCTACACCTGGCATAGATCCTGAGTATCTTTGGTTCACTCATTCACAATTATGGAGGTCTGAATTAGTGCATCAAGAAATTATTCTGTCCTAGATAGTGATTCTCTACTGCTAGCTCCATGCTGTAGCACTACCTCTGGTATACAGCAGATACATAATAGCATGGAAGTACCTAATTTCTAAGAATATTCACTACATACCAAATTGTATTTAAACTGCCTTTCTGATTCATCATGGGACTACCCAAGTCATGGCAAGTCAACAGTTTCCTAGGGTGCTTTCCTTAAAATCTCTTTACACCAAAACATTTTGACCCAATCTTCAACATAGAGGATGCTACACTTTAGAAAAATTATACGAGGAATGCTTATTTATAGGCTCAGTTGCCTTTCCATAGCAACTGCAACATGAATCATTAAGCCCCTGAAATACGCCCATTCAGTTCATCTTTAGGCAATACCTTTGCCTGGAACTCTTCATCCAGAACTATTAAGAGCCTCAAGATTCAGTGGGAGACACTTACCTGATATTTAAAAAGGCCTTGGATTCAATCCTCAGCATTTTGAGGTGCATCTGTTAGAAATGTAAAATAATTCTGTCAAGAATTTGAATTTTCTGCTCTCAAGGGATCCATGGAGATATGAATGCTCATAGGAATGAACTCAATATTTATAATTTTTACAAAATAGAACTGCTAATCTAGTTGAAAAATATGGCCAAGACTTTAAAGGTTCCCCCCCCCCCCTTTATAAAAAAAATGTCTCACAGGTTGACAGTAAGTGGGATTCTCTTCTGACACTTTTTCTATTTTGTGCACTTCATGGAAACTCCAGCATCAACATCACAGGATAGTTTAAAGAAACATACTCCCCCCCAAAAAAAGTAAATACATTTTTGCCATTAAAGTCAAGAATCCCAGTTCCCTCTCTAGTCACTAATCAAATTACATCAATCCAATCCAATCCAATCCATCAATCAATATTTAAAACTAAGCCAAACTGTCCTTGGCAGTTCTAGCCATTTTTTCTCCAGTATTTTTCTGTATAGGGCAGTGCGGTGGCTCAGCGGTTATAAATGCTGGGCTTGTCAGCTAAAAAGCTGGCAGCCCAGCTTCGAGACTCAAGCGCCATGGCATGTGGTGAGCTCCCATCTTTGCTTCATCTCCTGCCAACCTAGCAGTTTGAAAGCATGCAAATGCAAGTTGATAAATAGGTACCACTTCTGTGGGAAGGTAACAGTTGAAATGTCTTAGGACAGTGCTGGCTCAATGGCCTTGAAATGAAGGTGAGCACCACCCCCTAGATTTGGCAACAACTAGTAGTGGAATAAAATCAGCAGGGACTCCTTTTCTTCTATATGAAAAAAATCAGCAGGAATGGAACTCATGGAAAAATGAGCCGTAAATTGATTGTATCTGCACTCACCCACACATCTTTAACTTCCTTCTGAAATCTAGAAGAACTGCTGCCAGTCAGCTGATAACTCGAGGCTAAATGAATGACTAAAATAGCTTCCCATGATAAAGACTACGTACAGATCCAATACTATAGCAAAAGTCACAGTTGGCTTTTAGATAGATGAAAACTTAAATTGCCAAATAGTTATGTGTTTCAAGCAGCATTTGCTGCTATTATGTGATATATTTAAAAATATGTCAAGGCAATTATAGCGATTATAAAGCACTTATTGTAAAAAAAAGTATTTGTCACTTGGTACATATGCTCTGAATATCATATTATCTGTCATCTAATTATCTAACTGTCCAACCATCCAACCTTCCATCCCTCATGTTGCTCAGGTAACATCAGGAGGCTCTCTGGCTCAGTAATGGTATACATGCAACACATGCAGAAGGGCCCAGGTCTGAGTTTAGATCCTCCATTACAAACCTCTGTAGTATTGTGCTCATTTTGAAGGAGACTACTACTTAAATAGCATACTAAAAAGCAGAGACATCACCCTGCCAACAAAAGTGCGTATAGTCCAGGCCATGGTTTTCCCAGTTGCAATGTATGGCTGTGAAAGTTGGACCATAAAAAAGGCTGAGCGCCAAAGAATTGAGGCCTTTGAACTATGGTGCTGGAGAAGACTCCTGCGAGTCCCTTGGACTGCAAGGCGTTCAAACCAGTCAGTCCTAGAAGAGATCAACCCTGACTGCTCTTTAGAAGGCCAGATCCTGAAGTTGAAACTCAAATACTTTGGCCACCTAATGAGAAGGAAGGACTCACTGGAGAAGGGCCTAATGCTGGGAAAGATTGAGGGCAATAGAAGAAGGGGACGACAGAGAATGAGATGGCTGGATGGAGTCACTGAAGCAGTAGGTGTGAACTTAAATGGACTCCAGAAGATGATAGAGGACAGGAAGACCTGGAAGAACATTGTCCATGGGGTCGCGATGGGTCGGACACGACTTCGCAATTAACAACAACAACAACAACAACTTAAAACCAAGAAGGATCATTGTTCCCAGATAGGATTTGATTATAAGATCTGTGATAGGTGAGTGAATTGGTGGCATCCTTCTCTGTGGGCTATGGCAGCTAGGTCAGCTGGAAACTATAGTTTAGCTTCATCTGGAGGGTCACCCTGCCCAAAAGGGCTTTCCTACCTGCAGTCCAGACAAGATCTGGCCTGATTCCCTTTGACCAGTTATTGTTACTAGTGAACCACATATACCTAGGTTATTATTCACATTATCTTTGCACTCACAAAGTTTATTGCATGGGATTAGGAAGGGAACAGAATCAGGAAGAACATTATAACGATATCAGATAGTGAGAAAAGGTTATGCAAAATATTTAGTCACAAAGTAAATGTACCATATTGCAAATATGCATTTGAATTAATGCTTCAATATTTCATGGTCCACATAAGCAGGTCTACCCATTCCCACCGTTACTGTGCACTGGCTCCAACAAGGGAAGGTAGCAGCTTATAATCATATATTGTTATATCTATTAAGAGATCCAGTCTGGTATAGTATATAAGACACCAGGTTAGAAACTAGTAGACACAAATCTAGCTGGGTGACCTTGGGCCAGTCAGTTTCTCTCATCTCAAGGGATTTGTCCAAGCAGTCACCAGGACTCAAAGGCACCCATAGAAATCTATTAACCAAGTATATGCCTTTTTCATAAGCCTTTTGTTTCAGTAAGACTTCAGTAAGTACTATAGACTAGCAGAAGATTGCTCAATGGCTTTCAAGAGTAGCTATTAGCCACACTTACCAACTCTGCTAAAGACTATCATTGGGATTCTGCTACTGATGTTCCATTAAAAGTTTTCACTTTTAGCAAAAAGACAAAAAAGTTGGTCATCAAAGGAGTATTACAGAACTCAACACTCATTAACTTATTATCTGAATGTTTTCAGTCTCTTTTGTACAATTTCAGATGTCACTAATGGATTATTTTTCTCACAGACAAACCTAGTTTTGGTTTTTTTTGTGCACTACTAAGTAAAGAAATCTTTGTTCTGTGCTAAATTTTCCACTGTTCAATTTCACTGAAGAATTCTACCACTAACAGGAAAAAAAATATTTTTCTATTCCTATAACGCCATGTATTATTTCATGTACTCCTATTATATCCCCTGTTTTTCCTTAATCTAAAAAGACTCAAATAACATAAGCTTTCTTCCTTGGTTAGTTACTCCAGCCTTGGGCACCTTTGAAAGCCTTTTTATCCTGCACCATAATGATTCTGGGGATTTAGGGACCATTATACACCCAAGCCAAATTGCAAATTGTAGATTTATGTAATTTTTAAAGTATCCAAATGCTTTCAAATACAGAATTTGCTTTTTCCTCTCACACTATAACTATAAACCAGGATCAGGAGATCCAAAATCTTACTTGAAGCTCCCCAATCAGGAAAGCAGCATAACAATGAAGGTGGGGAACCTTATGTGGATAATTTTACTCTTAGGTGTCCCCCTGTTTGAACAGACCTTTTGAAGTTCTTCATCATTCCAATTTATTTTAAAACTATGCAGGCACAATTTCAATTCAAGTACAATCCTTTTTCAAAGTATCCAATATTCAGTTGCATAGAAAGAAAACAAGTAACATAAATAAAATACATTCAGTAGTATATACTGAACATATTCAGTAGTATATACTGTATATTTGGACTAACAGGAAAAAACAAAGACCCTTCAAGGCTGGGGAAACTGGCCATGCTGAAATAGCATGGCCAAGAATTAAAAAATCCTTCTTAAAACATGGGGAATGCTTTATAACAAATCACATAATTTATTACCAGCCTAGAATTATTGTCACTGACTTAGATCACTTGTTACATTAAACTGGTGAATTTACTTTTGAGTTAACCTGGTAAATGAACCCATCCATTATAAACCAAGCAACTATGAACCACTTAGCTAACATGATTTTGAAAATCCCAGGACCACTGACTGACCTATTAGAATTTGAGACAAGTACTTAGATATATTAATGTTTGAACTGCATTCAAGATTGTGCTTTACTGCATTTCTGATGAAGAAACCTTAATAACCCTCATTTTGGAAATTAAAATTTTTCTATCATCAGCTCGTCTAATATTACTTATCGAAAGAATTATTATTACTAAAGATGTACATACTGTGAACTTGAATGAATAGATCTGAAAGCTAAATCATACTCATTGACCTAAATTTATGCTATGTAGTTCCAGTGTCAATTTGGAGTCTTTTTTTTTTATTGAAAATTTTTAAAAGTTTTACAAATATACAACCAAAAACAAATCAACCCTCACCCCATCCCTCCCAAGCCCACCCCTGCCTCCCCCCTCCCCGAACTTCCCAGAACTGAATATAGGCTTATCTAAAATTTTAAAATATCTAAACAAATTTTACATCTTATAATAATAAAATATATGTAAGCATTAAAAAAAATACTTAAAAAAGAAAAAAGAAAGAAAGGAAAGAGAGAGAGAAAGAAAAAAAAAGATAAAAAAGAAAAAACAAAAAACGGAAAAAGAAAAGAAAAAACAATCTATACAAGTTATAAGAAAGCTAAATGATATTTTTCCATATCCAAATTATATTGTATAAAATTTATCCATTTTTCCCATACAACAAAAAATTTCTCTTGAGATGCTCCTTTAAGAAAGCCGAAATCTTTGCCATTTCCGCCAAATAAGAAACTTTATAAAACCACTCTTGCAAAGTAGGCAAAGATTCCTTCTTCCAAAAGTCTTGTATAACAGTACTATATAGTTAAATCAGTCTTCCCTATCATCATAAGTGGTAGAATAAATATTACTATAAATCTAATGTTTAAAAAAGTGACTATAAATGCACATTTTCAGAGTTCACTAGGAAACATCTGACATCCTAAAGAAACCTTAAGGATTCTTAAGCTTTTTCTCTCTCTTATTTAAATCTATTCATCCTGTTAAAAATCCACTGGCTATTTGATGTTTGTAAATGATCTTTCAGCTTTAACTAATAATATTCTTATGTACTCCTTTTCAATGCCTGTAGCTGATTTCTATTATATTGTTCAATGCATTATAGCTATCTTCATATACAATTCAGCAACAAAAATAGGAATTATTACAATTGCATATCAAGGCCTAGCATCAGGTTGTGAGCCACACTTGATCAACAGTTGAGTGTTACGATAGGCTAGTTATGATAATTAATCAATGCTTACAACTAGTATGGATATATATGTAATGGTTTATACTAAAAATGGTTTGGTATGATGTAAGGGTTAGAGACGAGGATTGGTTCCCCTCTAGAATCTGATGGATCTTGAGATAACAATAAATTTATAAAGTTAAAGTAAGAGAAAATAAGGAGCAATCAACTATAAAATGTGGTTTCTGGGATGTATATCTGAAAACTCAAACCACTGTTAGTACAAAGCATGCCTTGATCTAATAATATGAATTAAGTCATATTTTTATAAATGTATGTATCTTATTACTTACACTGAAAGCTATTTTTGTGAACCTTTCCATTGAGTAGTTTTAAACAGGGACATCAGAGTATTAGATCAGTTACATGTAAAACAAATATCCTAAATAATTGGAGAGCAGATTATGTTAAGACACAATTTTATGATAAATGCTTATATAATCTAAAGACAGAAAGCTCCATATGGAAGAAACATTCTCACTTTTCACACAGGTGGGAAGAACAGTTATATAATGCTCTCTGCTATGGCATACATTATCTACCACTTAATCATATTAAAAGTATACTCCTGGCTTCATTATGGTAGTTACTTTTACTCATTCATTTATATATGCTTTTAATAGGATTAACATTTTATCAGATTCAAGATGGATTCCATTTAATTTTATTAGGTTGCAGCCTTCTTGTGGTAGCCTTAACAGTGGGCACAAGTAGCACCCATGCAGAATATTTCTTCAGCCATTCCTTCTTAGATGGATACCTGGTTTGCTTTCTTTCCCTTTACTTCTGAATAGACAAGATTAATAACAAGTAAGGGCTTGTGCAAGGTATGGTAAAAAAAAAAGAAGTCAAGATGGCAGCTGCAATCGAAGCTCCACCATTTATTTTGTGTAGAGGTAGTTCTCGACTTACGACCATTTTTGCCACAGTTGTTAAGTGAATCTGCCTTCCCCATTGACTTTGCTTGTCAAAAGGTCGTAAAAGGTGATCACATGACCTCAGGAACACTGCAACTGTCATAAATATGAGTCAGTAGCCGAGCATCTGAATTTTGATCACGTGACCAAGGGGATGCTGCAACGGTTGTAAATGTGAAAAATGGTCATACGTCACTTTTTTCAGTGCCCTTGTAACTTTGAACGGTCACTAAATGAACTGCTATAACTAGAGGACTACCTCTATAACATGTGCAATATATGTAAACAAACAGGCAGAGCTTCAATTGCTGGGTCATGGCCGCTTTCTTGATTTTTTTTTTATCATACTGGTAGAAACTTCTGATTAGAGCTGAGATTATATCTGAAGGCTGTGATCACTTTTTCACTTTTATAGGTGATCAGCAAATATTGAAAATCTATAACGTGTGGACAATTGCATAAAAGCCAGCATGGCTGCCTTTTCCCATTTCACTCATGCCCCTCCCCAGTGAAGGGGTTTTCACCAAGTCAGTCCTGTGCTATGGACAAAAGCTTTCTCTGCATTGAAGTCCATCTTAGAACTGGCTTTCCATTCACCTAAGGGCACATTGTGTGGTACACGCTTGTCATTAATGCCTCTTCCTCCCAGCACATGGATCGGTGTAACTCTGCTGTTCCCCTTCAGTAGTGTTCACTATAGGACAGTGGTGGCAAACCTATAGCACGCATGCCAGAGGCAGCACTCAGAGCCCTCTCTGTGGGAACGCGCACCATACCCCAGAGATGGCAACTGTCTCTCTTCAACCAGCTGCCCCGCTAACTCGCCGAGGTTCCACATGGTTGGATGCATCCCAGCACCCATGTGCTCACTGGCCTCTGTGTGCAGGGACCGATGGTGTCAGGCAGCAGTCGCCCCAGCTGCTGCCTCAACTTGTCCTGTGACAATGGCACCCCTGCCCTGCCTCATCTCTCCCCACAGGACGAGCCTCCTGCCCACCGCCCCACCTGCCAGAGACCCCCTGTATCTCCGCCAACCCTGCCCGGCTCCCACAGGCATCCCTCCCCACGAGCAACATTGTGGTGATCACGCCCACCTTTGCCACACCCACCCAATCTGCCATGACCACCACAGCCACACCTATCCAGTGGGCCATGCCCACCTGGCACCTGGCGATAAATAAGTGGGTTTTGGGTTGCAGTTTGGGCACTCGGTCTCTAAACGGTTCGCCATCACTGCTATAGGACAAAAGGGGGCCAGACAGGGTCCACATGAGCCAACCCATGCTCCCTGATGCATCACAGCAATTATTATTTAAAAGGAGCCTGAACTTCTTGGACATCTCTTGGGAATAGAGATACTTGGAAGCAGCAGCATCCTGAAAGATGAAGCTGTGCTCCAGATCTGCCGTGGAAAGAAGCTGCTTCTTCTTCCAACTTTGCAAATCCTTGGACTGAGCAGAGGGAATGGCAGCAGCAGCCAAAACTGTACTTCCTTTTTGTCAAAGGCAAACAGCAATAGACAACAGCTTATTTAAGTAGACTTGTATTACTTAAGCGACAAAAATTGTACATTTTTGCTATCAAGAATTATTTCTAGATATTTTCCCCAGAAGCTACATGAACCTTATAAGACCACAGTAAGACCACACCTGGAATACTGCAGCCAATTTTGGTCACCATATCACAAAAAAGATGTTGAGAATTTGGAAAAAAATTCAGAGAAAAGCAACTAAGATGATCAAAGGCCTGGAGACTAAAACATACAAGGAATGGCTATGGGACTTGGGTTTGGCTAGTCCAAAGAAAAGAAGAAATGGGAGACATGATAGCAGTATTCCAGTATTTGCGAGGCTGCCACAAAGAAGAGGGGGTCATGTTATTTACCAAAGCACAGGACAGGACAAGAAACAATGGTTGGAAACTGACCAAAGAGAGAAGCAACCTTGAATTAAGGAGAAACTTCCTAACAGTGAGAACAATTAAACAGTGGAATAGCTTGGCCCCAAAAATCATGGATGCTCCATCACTGGAGATTTCTAAGAAAAGACTAGAAAATCACCTATCTGAAATGGTATAGGTTCTCCTGCTTGAGCAGAGGGCTGGACTAGAAGATCTCCAAGGTCCTTCCAGCTCTATTCTATTCTATTCTATTCTATTCTATTCTATTCTATTCTATTCTATTCTATTCTATTCTATTCTATTCTATTCTTAGAGAAGAGACCAGCATATTGTGTTTGTATGTATGTGTGCATGTGTAATGAGATGTGGGTGCACAAAACATTTTGTATCAACAGTACTATAAATTAAGCATTGCAGAAGGTGTCAGCTACATTATCTACGCATTTCTTCTTTTTTTGCATCTAATCTGATCCACAATTCTGAGTTATAATAGAGACACTACAGCTAATTTGCATATTCCACTTGTCTTGGTGTAGTGCAGGGCAGCTTGCTTACAAATGCATGACATCATCCTCAACCTGCCCCTGGCCACCCATTTTTCCTTGTTTTTTATCAAAAGTAATTTTCCAGTCTCTGCTGATTGAAGCAGTGCTGTGTGGTCAGTGCTAGCCCTGCTGTCAATTGGCTGTGCTGTGCATGTTTATCCCTCCAATCATGGTCACCTTTGGCTATTTTTCCTGGCCTCTTAGACCTGTCCACAGGTGGACCATTCATGTTTGCTTTCTTTTGTTAACCCATCCACTGGAGAACAGATGAATCTTTCTTTTTGGGGAGGGGGGTTCCTATTTAACCAATCTGCTTATGGACCAATGAAACTGTGGGCCTTAACTCTCTCTCTCTCTCTCTCTCTCCCCCCCCCTCTCTGTGTATGTATGTGTCTCAGTGTCTATGTGTGTTTTAATCAGTCCCATGGAAGCATCCTAAAAGCAATGAAATGGCAATAGAGGGACAGGATGCTGGGGTCCGAATGGTGTGGAGGGGAAGAGAAGGATCCATGAAGGAGAAAGGGAAGGGCAGCAAAAGATTCTGTGTGCCAGAGAAAAAGAGAGTGTGGGCAAGCAAACAAACCAGCAAGGAAATACCAAAACTTTTTCCAAACACTCATAAAGAAGAGGCATGTGCTCACTCACACTCCAAGTGCGTGCCCACGCACACTCATAGACACACACACACACACCATTCCTTTCTCTTCTCTCTCAGTGCTGATGTGCCTCCCAGTCTCCTGGACAGAAATCCAGTAACATTAATGATTTGTTGACCCTTTCTTATTGGGGCTCTTTGCCAAGCTATCTCCTGGCAGAAAGCAAGAACTGGGTGAAATTGACAAGACTATTATCCTAGCTCAAATGACAGCAAGAAGCTAAAACAGTGATGCCTCCGGTTATTTTCCCATCAATTCATTTGTGGAGTTCATCCATTTATCATGAGCAAGAACTCCTGCACTCAATATTATACTTCAAACTGTATTGGTCTATGACCAGGGATGTTTGCTTATGCAAACGAATATCCTCAAAAGTCTGCCCATTTGGTGCTTGTGTTCCAGGTATGGGTGGAGAGATAAAGGAAGCAGGGGGACCCACCTATCAGAGGCCATGGTAGCTGCTGTCCAGACAGAACTCCTGGCCAGCATTTTTGCCAAAGCTTGAAATCCAGACAGCAGCTTCTTAAACCAACTTCATTACTAGCTGGTTTCAGCACAGATAACCAGCTTAAGGTGGTTGTGTGGAGTTGTCCTACTCAAGCAAATGTACATTTGTTAGATCCTGTGGTTTAAAACCTAGCCCTCTGCACTAGATCTTAAGTATGATAATGCAGAATCTTAAAAGCAAAAACAAAAAAAAGGGCTTACTTTTAGTCACAAAAGTGTGCAGCTCAGCTATCATATTGTTCCTGCATGACTGTAGACTTTGGTGACTGCAGTTAAAGGGAACAGTTGTCTGCTTGGGATCTTCATTTGTTTCAAGATGGTCCCATGGCTCCCATTTCACAGGCCAAACACTGAGGATGCCAAACAGGAGTTCTGGTTTCTTCAAGGCATGATGCACATGCTCAAGGGAGATGTTCTGCTAGGAGGAAGCCCAGCACCAGGGAATCATTTCTAATCCCCCCACCCCACCCCACCCGGGCATTAAAGAGCGTTGGTGGCTGGTTCCCCTTGAAACCCCTTTGCCCACACAAAGCCTCCTCCGAAGCACGCTCAGCGGGGACTTTTCCACGCCTATTCTCCCGTTAGAGAGAAAGGCTCCCTCAACTTCCCTGAGCGTGAAGCATACTCAGAAGAGGGGAGGGGATGCTGCTTCCAGTTTAGGGACAGATCAAGGGACCGCCGTCTCTTCTACCCTGCACACACCCACACCGAGCAGCTGTCCTTGCGTTGCGCGCGCTTAAAATGTCCTTAGGCACCGGGAAGATGCCGGGGGGGGGCATTAGCAATACAGCCACGCGTTGCAAAGATCGCCGCTTAGCGCCCGGCGCCCTTGCCCGGTCTACCTGCACGAAGAAAGCGCGGGTCCCAAGGCTGCAAGGAACGGCGATAGCACATCCTTTGATGGGATCGATCCTCACCCCACCTTCCCGCTCGTCCTTCAAGGGGGCGACCTCCTTTTTTTCTTCCCCAACGCTCTCGGCTCGGCATTTGCCCGCCTCGGCTCTGGCCAGGGCACCGCGACTGCTGGCTATCTCCCGGCCGGGCTCACCTGCTTCCTTTCCAGCCGTTCTCGCCTCCGATCCGCCGCCGCCGCGCCTCCTGCCTCGGTGGTTGAAGTCAGCGCTCGCCTCCGAACGGCTGCGGCGGCGGCTGCCGTCCCTTCTTTGCTTGCCGCTGCAGATCCTCCCACTTGACTCCCGGGGAGGGTGGAAGGAGAGGAGCCCGCCCGCCACTGCGCTCTGGCGAAGCCAAGGAGTCGCCCCGAGAAGGAGGGTCCTGGCGGAGCTCAGGCGCTGCAGCGACTCCCTTTGTCGCCCATCGCCGTCGGCTGGCCCTCGAGGGTCTTCGCTCTGCGGCGCGGATGGACGCGGAGCTTTTTGTGGGAGATGCAGGCTGTGTGGCGCCGCGGCAGGCGCGTTTCTGCTGGCTGCCTTGCAAGGCTTTTCTTCACACACGTGCACCTGGCGTGTTGGTGGGCACAGCTAACTTGCCGTCTTTGCAGGTGATAATGGAATAAAAGCTGCCTCTCACGCTAGACGTGCTTGGTCTCCCAAAGGAACCCCTCCTGACCTGCACCAGCAGCGCTGTCCGGATTTTAGCATCTTCTCCGTTACAGTCCATCCGGCTTTCCCTGCGGGAGCCTTGAGAAGCATCCAGAGGAACTCCGTTTCTTCCCTTAGCCACCAGGGAGGGCTTTGTGTCTGGTCCAGAGCCATTTGCAGCAGTCCTACTCCAGCATCTTAAACCTCTCCACCACACTGGCCTTGAGACGCCAGGGATACTAACTGAGGGTTTTGGGAATTGTAACCCCAACTGGCTGAGAAGCAGCAGGTGGCAGGAAGGCTGGATCTTTTTGGAAATGGCTTTGCTGAGTCACAAGCACAAATGTCCTAGGAGGGGTGCCCAGACTTAAACCTGGCATCTTGTATGTTCAAACTTACTTGCCTATTGATACAAGGTTTCTTAGCCAGCTGAGCAACATGCAAAATCAAAACGGGTAGTTCTGAACTTACCACTGGTTATTTAGCAGCCAATCAAAGTTACCACAGACCCTTTCAAAGGTTCTTACAACAAACCTGGCTCTGAAGTTCCTACGGCCAACATTCCCCCCCCCCCCCAATGGTTACATCAGTGTTCCCTAACCTTTCCGGGTTGGCAGCCGGATGCAGGGGGACAGGAAAAGAGAGAATAGTTTTGTGTGAGAGGCAGCTGCGTATGCACACACAGCTTTATTTATGAATGGGGCTGTGAGTGCCACACCCACTGCTCAAGTGAGTTGGGCTGCGCACACATGCGCAGGCTTGGCTGAAAATAGGCCACAGCCTGGTAGATGTTTGGACCCCTGTGTTAGTCAAGGACTATCCTGTATATGAGAAACAATGATAACCATAACAGTACTGCTCTGTAATGTTAGTATATGATAAAATCTATTGCTAATCAACGAGTTTTCACTGGTTATAAAGTGGTGAGGGCTATAATTGCAGCAAAGGCAACTTTTCTTGTAAAATGAGTCCACTTTTTTAGATCTAAACTACAACTTTCTTTCCTGAAGCACAAAACTATATGCATGGAATTCAAGTGGGTCTTTGAATACAGAGTGATACAGCAAGAGTCTCATTTTCTCATTTTAATCTTTGAAATTTAAGAATTAGATACAATAACAAAATAGACATCAGAAACACAAACCTAGGATGTGAGAAAAATAATGGAAGCAGTAGTTGAATACAAGTCGCCTCTGTGGATGGTGTCCACCTTGTGGCTCATGTCAAGAAGAGCAACAAAGATGATCAGGAGACTGGAGGCTAAAACATATAAGGAACAGTTGCTGGAATTGGGTATGTCTAGTTTAATGAAGAGAAGGACGAGGGGTGGCATGATAGCAGTGTTCCAATATTTCAGGGGCTGCCACAAAGAAGAGGGAGTCCAGCTATTCTCCAAAGCACCTGAAGGCAGGACAAGAAGCAATGGATGGAAACTAATCAAGAAGAGAAGCAACCTAGAACTAAGGAGAAATTTCCTGACAGTTAGAACAATTAATCAGTGGAACAACCTATCTCCAGAAATGGTGAATGTTCCAACACTGGAAGTTTTTAAGCAGAGACTGGACAATCATTTGTCTGAAATGGTATAGGGCAGAGGTGTCAGACTGCCGGCCCATGGGCTGGTTTCATCATACCAAAACTGCGCCTACCCCATTGCCGGCAATGCAAAGAGTTGTGATATGTCGTGACACGTCACGTGATAAGGCAAATTTAACACCTGTGGTATAGGATTTCCTGCCTGAGCAGGGGGTTGGACTAGATGACCTCCAAGATCCCTTTCAACTTTATTATTATTATTATTATTATTATTATTATTATTATTATTATTATTATTATTCAACACCCATATGCCTTGGCTAAGCAAATAAAATGTAGGTGGGATATGACTTTGTGAATGCATTTTTTTAAAAAAAAAACCCTGCTTAGAACTTGTTAACACCATTTTCTCCAGCATTTGCTATTCTTAATGCCACCCTTAATCCCCCACCCCACGGACTATTTACAGTGTGGAATATCTTCTCACTGAAAATTCTAAAGAGGATAATTTATGTCAGATTGTGTAGCAATTCTCTGGGGTAGGTTTTTCATAGCACCTGATTATCACATCTCTGACTGGCAAAATAGGATTCCCCAACTGACAATCTGTGCAATTTCTGCTCTGTGACATTTATCCTGAAATAACCTGCAAGATAGCCAGGTTTTGTGTGGTAGCATGCAAAATCAGGCAACGGATAATTAAGAACAAATGATTTTATGCTACTATTTTAGCATTTATACAGTACTGTTCTGACTATTAATTTTAATTCTATTCTTCTTTTCTCATACATGTAGCTGAAGCAAGCTTCTTAGTATTGTTAGAAGTAAAGTCTTCATCCTGGTTCATCCAAGCCGGGAATAAATAAGCAAACATGGTGACTGCTTTGGGAAGAAGGTTACAGTTTATTGCAGAAAGAAGGTCTTCAGGAAAGTACAGAGGAGAGAGAAGGAGAGCTGAGCACATGGGGCAGTAGGCTTTTATACCCCCTCTAGCCTTGTTTGGAATAGTTTTCTGTTCCTGTGGCATGAACCTTGAGGCTGTTTCTGAGTGTTTGTCTAGGCCTTGATATCTGTGGTTTAATTCTATTATCATATCCTGCTTCCCAGGTGATGGGGCTGACTCCTAGAGTTTGGGTGGGGTATGCAGATCTTCTCTTTTGTCTTCTTCATTGCTCTGGCTCCAACTTTCTGATGGTTTTACATTTGCATTTGTATGGGCCTAGCTCTTGCTTGGGGCAGAGAGATAGATTTGGGGCCAGGTTTGGTTTTAAAAAGTCCTTTTGAGGAAAAATATATTTTTCTGCCCTTTTTAATATTTCCTTCTGGGGGGGCTAACTTCCATCAGTATTTTCTGTTTTTAATACTCATTTAGTTAACATTCTTTGTGTATATATTTTACCCAGCTGTTCTGATCTGATTGAAGGCAAAAGGAGAAGGGGATGGCAGACAATGAGATGGTTAAATAATGCCATTGTTGCAAGGAACATGAATCTAGGCAAACTTTGGGAGACAGTGGAGGATAGAGGAGCCTGGTGTGCTATGGTCCAGGGGTCACAAAGAGTCAGACACACAACCTAGCAACTGAATAACAACAAATGCTGATCTCATCAATTCAGCTTTGCATATTCACATATAGATTTCCTTTGGGCTGATTAATGACTACAATAAAGCCTTCTAGGTTTATATCACCCGCTGCAACATCTTAACTGGGAAAGCCAAAATGCCTGACATCCTTCCCCAAGAGAAGCCTAGTTCTTTGTGTCTTCTTTGAAATGTAGCAGTGACTCAAGCAGAAATAAAATAGGGTTAAAACCAAATGGAACAAAGTTCAGCCTAGACATCAAGAACTTCCTGACTGTTGCAACTGTGGGTTCTCCTTCCCTAGAGATCTTCAGACAGTGCCTGAAAGATTATCTGTCAAAGATGTGTGTGAATCCTGCCCTGAGGCAGGGTGTTGAACAGATGACCTCTAGGATATCATTAAACTGTGATTTTATACAGACGTCTGTAAGGACAGAATTCAGCTTTAGTCTTTGTATAAGACATGACTGAATCATTTGGATCACAGCTGATGCAGGAACATGAAAAAAATGGCACTGACTAGGCTTCAGTGAGCAAGACTGTTTGCCTACTTCCAAAGGCAGAGCAATAAATCATGTAGACATAGAACAAGAAACTTGCTAGTGGCTGGGTGCCAAGGCCTTCCATGATTTATTCCTCATGGCACATGAGCCATTCTATTACAGGATGACAAATTACTATGTTAAGAAACCATCAAACTAGCTGGCTTCCTCACCTTGAATTCCTTACAAGAACCAACTATTTGAATATGTTTAAAAAAATCCAAAGAGAACATACAACATTTTGGAGCTTTTTACATTAGACAATCAAATAATTGTTACAGGCATTTTTGACATCTCAACAGCTAGTTATATATAGTAAGGGTATGAACTGATTGGATGAGAGCTTGGCTGTGTTCTGATTGGATGGAGGTGTGTTCTGATTGGTTAGGAGCTTGGCTGTGCTCTGATTGGCTGGGGGGTTGGCTGTGCTCTGATTGGCTGGGAGAGTGTTCTGTTTGGGTGGGGGCTTTGTTGTGCTCAGGTTAGTCTGAGTTGCCGGGGGGTTTAAAATGGTGAGCTGCATTGCTAATTTTTGGCTTCGTGGTCGTGCCTCATCTTCATGTGGGTGTCAGTTTGCTTCATGTATGGATTGGAGGGGTTTAAAGTGGCTAATGATGCAGCTGTGGTCTGGCTTCTGGTTTGTGGTCGTGCCTCATCATCGGTGTGGCTTTGGGTTTGCTTTTTGCGTGGATGTGTGGTGGTGATATCCTGTGTGGTTTTTGTGAGTGTGGGTCTGGTGTCATTTTTTGTGTTAGGGAGTCGTTTGTCAATCAGGGCGGGTTTCCAAATGGCTGGTAGGCGAGATGTATCATCTCATTTGTTCATGCTGTGTGGGCGTTTTTCTATCTCGATGGCTTCTCTGATTATTCTGTTATTAAAATGTTCAGTTTTGGCAATAGTTCTGGTCTTTTTAAAGTCAATTTCATGTCCTGTGATTTTTAGGTGTTGGACCAGGGAAGAAGTTGGTTCCTCTTTTTTGACTGAGTTCTTATGTTCTTCAATGTGTGCACTTATTCTTCTGTTGGTTTGTCCGATGTATGTGGTGGGGCAAGTGGTGCATGGGATTTCGTATACTCCTTGATTTTCTAATTCAATTTTATCTTTGAGGTTTCTTAGGATGGTGGATATTTTTCTGTTTGGGCAGAATGCTGTCTTAATGTTGTGTTTGTGGAGAATCTTACTGATTCTGTCTGTGGTGCCTTTTATGTAAGGGAGGAGAGCTTTGCCGTTTTCTTGTTCTCTGTCTTGGGTTTTAGTGGGGTTTCTTTTTGGATTAGTTTGGTAATCTTATTTCGTTGGAATCCATTGGATGTAAGTACATTAGTGAGAGTGTGTAGTTCGGTTTTTAGG